CACGCAAAACCGTGTGACATACCTTAGTTACCGCACGTTTGTAGATAATAGCTATTTACCTAACAAGTGCGGAAAAATATTTTCCGAAAGTGTTAGGTGCAATATTTTTCCGCACGGCTGTAGGAAAAATTATTTAAAAAAAAATTGCGTGTGTCACCTTTGACAGTGGACAAGTAGAATGTACACTGAGAAAATTTTTTCATTGTCATAGCTAATTTTTCTGCTGCCGTAGCCAAAAATTTTGGCTACATAGGGGACAGCCAAGATCTTTACTACCGCGGAAAAGATAACTTTACTGGCACCGTTTATTTGCGGTAGCAAAGTGACTTTATAAAGAATTTACTCACAGTTTCTACAAGGTCACTTTGCTGGCATAGAAAAGCTACTTTGCTGTCGTAGGAAAGTAACTATACTGTCCTAGAAAAGAGGTTATATACCCTCAAAAACATCCTTTTTTGCTATTGAAAAGTAGATTGCTAAGACAGAATAGTATATTACATACCGAGACAATAGTGAAACTTTTCACCGAGGTATGTATACTATTTTTTTTACTACTAACCTGAGAAATAGAAATTATTCAATCTATTTTTCTAAGAAAAAATTGAATTTCTCTCCCTAGGTTAATAATGAAAATAATGAAAAAATACCTAGGTTAATAATGAAAATGACGTCATGACGCAAGGATATTGTTATGTTTCTATTGGTTGAATTTCAATTTCATACGTCAATTTGAAAAAAAAATGCAGGTTTCTGTAGGTACATAGGAAGTTATATAAGCTGTTAATAGAGGGCAGCACTTTCAAGAGGGCGTTCACAAAAAATAATTAGAACACAGATTTTAAACAAATTTTTTATTTTTTACTAGCAGTAGTAAAAAAAATTCTATATATTCCTCGGTAGAGAAAGTCATTATATACCTCAAGCATTATAAACCTCGGCGCTTCCGACCAACTTCTCTACCTAGGTATATAATATACTATTATTTACAATTGATGAAATTTTGATTTGAATTAAAACTAAAAAATACAATAATTAACAATTTCATTTACTTTCGGCCCACGGGTCGAATGTTTACTTTCGACCCGTGGGCCGAAAGTAAAAGTAAAAAAATACAATAAATTTTAAAAAATTCATTTACTTTCGACCCGTGGGCCGAAAGTAAAAATCAGAAAATACAATAAATTTTAAAAATTTCATTTACTTTCGGCCCACGGGTCGAAAGTAAACTTTCGACCCGTGGGCCGAAAGTAAAAGTCAAAAAAGTGACATTTTCAACCTTTTTAAAAGTCAGTAAAGTCAACAGTACATGTATGATTGTAAATAAAAGATATTTGTTGTTGTTATTAGAAATGCTTCCTGAAATAGGAAAGCGTTTGTCTCAGAACAAAAAATTTCTTGCCAGAATCAGCCAAGTGTTTTATTAGCCATGGGAAGTTATTGGTCTCACCAATAGCAAAAATATTTTGCTGGAAATCTTTGGAAATATGTAGTAGCGCGTCCATCATAACAAAACCAGGAGATAAACAAACTCTATTTAAACCCCTAAACTTTCATTACCTGATCTGAAATAATGTCAATTAATGAAAAGTTTGGCGCTAGAGTTGTTTCTGCTAGTTTTGATGGATGCGCTGGCACCATTTCCAAAAAGATTCCCAGCGACCGACACTCGACTTGACTCGACAGCATCCACGATCCCACAGTACGGCGTTAGCTACTAAACTAAAATGGAAGAAAATGAACACGAAACATATTTTATCGGTTATTTTTGGACCCGAAGAAATCACGGAAATGTCCGAACGGTATTTTTAGTTAAGTTATTTGGCTAGGGTAGCAAAAAACATTCTGTAACAATAACAAAAATTACAGGATTTTTTTTTTGCTGCAACAGTAAAGTATCTATCTATCTTAGAAAAGTTCTATTTCGGAGAAGCAGAAATATTTTCATAAAATTTTAATTTTGCTATAACAGCAAAGTTTGGTTTTGGAATAAGAAATATCTTTGCAGTTTCAATAAAGTAGTTTCAGCAAAGTGGTCTTTTCTGTAGAAGCAAAATAACATTGCTACCTCTAAAACATTTTCCACTGTAACAGCTAAAAAAAAACCAGCAAAGAATTATCTCCTGGGACTTTTCTCAGTGTAGGTGATAGGTAGGCAATTTATCTCTGGTAGGTAATTGAAGGTACGTACCTATGAAGGTAGAGCGTGCGGTAATATTATTACCGCACGCCGTGCCGTTACTTTGCGCACACTCGTAGAAAAACATATTTTTTCCATAGCTACTGGTAAAGTAGCCTTTAATCTACTAAAACTAGTAGATACCGTAGTACTTTAATCGCAAGGGTAGATTAAATGATACTTTCTTTAACAGCAAGGATAGATAAAGACGTTTATTTTGTCAAAAATATGTCAAAAATATATGCATATTTTGTTTTTTATTTATTTGTCAAAGTTTGACAAACGAATTTCTACTTAAGCAAAGGTGTTCGACTCAAATAATTTCTAAATATTTTTGATACTACAGGCGTCCATAATTAGGCTATGGAAAAAACCTTTGTTTTACACATGACGATAAAATGCTATTATCGTCTCCCGGAATTAATTCACTCGCGATTCCGCTCGTGAATTAACTTTTCCGGTCAACGATAATCTTGTATAAAAAATAACTATTAGCTTCGTTCGCGATTCAGAACTTTTCTGAATCTATGTTCTGAACCCTTACCACGAACGAAGCTATTATTTTATAAGAAGAGTCAACTTCTCAATTGGTGACAAATTGTTGACAACTTGACAATTTCAAAAATTAAGATCTAGACGTCATTTGTGCATAAATTCCGCGCCCGGTTTATTATTTTTTTTGTTGTTTCTTCGGGTAAATACTACCTAATAGAAACAATCCAAAATTCCAAAGCAAGTCTGTTATTTTTATATAAACATTGTTCATGTTCAAAATACTGGATTTCAGTGGCTGAAAAATGTGTATCATAATGAAGTTCATTATGAAACAGATTTTAATCGTTTAATAGCGTATTATGAAATGTCAGTAGAAAAAAAAAAAATAGGGCAAAAAATGGGTTTTAGCGCGGACTTTTCGCGCGTTTTATCTCCGATCCCACGTCGAAGTTGAACGCAGTGCGAAGTCTTCGCACGGAGACAGTGTTGCCAAATAATTCTTTTCAGTTAAAAAACCCGAGAAATTGAAATTCACTACTAAAAAAAAGTGTTCATTTTTTTTCCAATTGCTTGGTGTGGTGGAAATAGCTATTTACCTAACAAGTGCGGAAAAATATTTTCCGCAAGTGTTAGGTACAATATTTTTCCTACAGGCGTAAAAATGTAAAATTTTTCTTTTTTTTTTTGACATATCAGGCTAGGGAATTCTGTAATTTTCGTTTATATCGCGAAGCTAAGCGAAAGCTAAGCTAAACCATAGCGAAATCGATTTTTGTTGATATTCTATAAGGTGTTCGCTTCGCTTTCATAGTGTCACACGACAAAATACGAGTGTGAACGACGTATGGTTAAATAATCATGCTAGGGAATTCTATAATTTTCGTTTATATCGCGAAGCTAAGCGAAAGCTAAGCTAAACCATAGCGAAGTCGATTTTTGTTGATATTCTATAAGGTGTTCGCTTCGCTTCCGCTTCGTTTTCATAGTGTCACATGACAAAATACGAGTGTGAACGACGTATGGTTAAATAATCATGGCAACATTGTAGGTATATGAGCCCAGAGCAAAAACTATAAAAAAAGAAGAGAAAATTAAGAGAAACCAATATAGGAACATACCCCAAATTTCGATTTTGAAAATTTGAAACTGCAATGACATAATTAATCATTCCTATTTATTATTCCTCTTTTTCTTTCTATAATATTTATATTGCATTTCTCAAATTATTGTGTGGATTCCAATGTTTCCAGAACACCTTCATATTTGAGCTCGATGTCTTCATAGGGATTCTTAATTGTTTTAGAACGGCCCTGAACTTGTAGCTCAATGTATATTTCGGAGATGGTCTCCCAATGCTCCGAAATTTTGTTGTATTATTGTTGATAACGACTGATTGATTTCTCCACCTGTAAATCATTGATGATTTTGTCTAGAATCTGACTTGTTGATTGATTCGAACTTCTTCTTCCTTCAGTCGGTTTGGCAGAGCTTGCAGCGTTTCGTTGTGTTGGTCGTTGGTCCTTCTTACCAATAGTGTATACTATGGCATCATTATAGATTTTGTTAAGCTGGTCCATGTATTTATCGGTGTAGTATACATGAGAATGACACTCTTGTTTACCAATTTCCACATGCTTTTTCTCGATCTCTTCCCAGACTGACTTGAGCATTTATTTTGTCTTGATGATATTGCTCGGTTTTTCGGCTTGTAGAGTCTTTTTTAAAATTGGCTAGGTGGCGTTGAATTTCCTTTCCTAATGTTTCTTGGGATTTGGCCAATCTGTTGATAGTGTCCATTGGTATAATAATATAATTGTCTTATGTTATCTTTGTTTGTGTAGTGTTTGTGCTTAGACCGGTGTCCAAGTGTTTAACCCCGAAGGGCGCGACAGTGTATAATCTACAATCTTCCCAATCAACGACAGAAGAGCCATCCTAATCGATTAGACCAGGAGTCAACAGCAGCTTTGGCAGCAATCTTTGCAGGGTGTCTTCTTCTTGGCGCCTTTGGCAGCACCCGCCCTTCGACAGGAGGCAGAATTTGGTTATTTCAAATAGGTGCTGTTCTTTACGCTCCTGTCATTTAGAAAAGTGCTTCTGTCTTGCGCGTGCCAGTTGTAACATTGCTCTCCGGATCTTATTTTCATCTCAACCCGAACATCAAGAATCTCTTTATCCTTTAAATATCCAAATCTTCAATAATCCGAAATAACACTCCAAATTGTTTTATTTCGAGCTAGAATATAATATGCACTTCCTAGATTCTTAAGACCTGCAATCTCAATTTCCTAATTTGTCCCTAAGCCAATATTAATAAAAGAGAAAATAGGTTTGGAAATATTTATTATTGTCACATTACCTCTACATATTATACATATAAAATTAATTTGTTTTAGTGTAGTCTTAACTATACAAAACTCAGTATATCACCCAAAAATGTTAATTCAATCCTCCAATTCTTCTACTTTAATTTTCAGTGGATCTTGTATTCCATATAAAAGTTGCATGCCAAACTTAGCCTCGGGATAGTTCCAAGAAAGCTTGAAATTTCTTATAATCTAAATCGTATAATCTTATGGTGAAATGCTTCTGAATAATACTAATGAATTACCTTAGAAATTCCAACTTCCAATTCCAAATTAGCCAGTCGTTTGCCTATACAAGATCTTGGACCATATCCGAAAGGCAAAAAGACGAATTGATGTAAATTTTTATGAGACAATTCGCCCTGAGTTGTTCGGAGCCATCTTTCTGGTATAAACTCTTTTGGTTTTTGGAAATGTTTTTCGTTCATGCATAGGAGAAGTGTTACTGATAAAACGTCAGTCTATAGAATAAAAAATGCACGTAATAAAATAAAACATAATTCTGCACTTACTCCTTTGGGAATTTGATATCCAGACAAAACCATATTCCTAACAGTTCTCCTCATATTGCCTATAGATATAGGAGAAAGTCGTGTAGTTTCTTTAATAACAGCTTTCAAATATAACGATTCTCTAAGTATGTTTTTTGTGACAGGAGAGTCCTTTGCAGGCATTTGTGATTTTAATTCTTGTCGTAGTTTTTCTTGTATTTCTGGATTTCTGGCTAAGAAATATAGGGCTGCAGCCATGGTTCTTCCTGTCTAAATATATTATTGTAATTATGTTTAAAGTATATTTGATTTGGAGTTCATACTGTATCTATTCCAGCAATAATCATATCGCCGGCCATAGCAAATGCAATTTTTTTATCAGTTTGTGCCAATCTTTCCAATACGCTTTTTTCATATTCTGATATATTTGAATTAGTATTGGCATTTGCCATGCATTCGTTAACATATTTCATGTTTATTCTAAAAAAATAATAATTAATTATAATAAAATGCAATTTTTTCTTTGAATAACATACTCGGTAAAAAAGTCAAGAATTTTGACATATTTTCTCCAATTTCTTGTGTTCAATATTGTCCATAATGATGGTAGAACGTCTAATTTGTACATTAATTCGAATAACTGTACTGATGATTCTATCAGTTTTTGTCCGGTAGAGTCTTTCTGCAGGTTGGGTTTAAGACAGCCTATAAAATAAAATGGTAAATTGTCAAATAATTGTTATAAATTATAAATTAGGTACATTTTGCTGACAATATGCTATAACATGTAGTCGTTGTGCATTGTTTATTTATTTATGTATGCAGTAGTACACTACAGAACAATAAAATATTCTAAATGGCACAGAACTGTAGGAACAAAACAGAAGAAACAAAAAAAAGAGCTGATCAGTTAACACAACTAAGCCTATAGAACATTTTCAAAAACAAGACGAATAGGATAGGCATTATTTGTAGCAACAATATAAAACATCAATCAGACATGCGTTGAATCAGTACTTCAATCACTTGAAAGCATGACACTCAGAGTAAAACGAGTTGTACTCTTCACAATTCTGTCAACCTCGAAGGAGCTGATGCAGGCAAGTTTGTAACATGATATCTCTGCGTCTGGATTCTATAGGCTTTTGATACCAGACATCAACCGGGCTTCATAAAATACACCGGAAGATGGGAAACGATGTTGGTACAGCAAAATATGATCTGAACTCTTACAAAGCCGTATTTCCGGAACATATCTCGTATTCGACAAAATAGCTCTATGCCATATTTTATCAATTCTGTTCCATATTCAATCAATTCTTCCGAAATATTACCTGAACCAGACGGTATTCCATTCGTTAAAATTATACCCATCTTTTTAACTTCAGGAAATGCTAGCTATATCGGAGAGCCAATGGGATTGATCATATCGGGGGTATCTTCGTCTTAAAAATCTGCTCGTTCTGTAAGTAGTTTTTCTTTGATCTTATCATTATTTTTGTTCGTGCGCTCTTGTAATCTTGTCTATGCGGATCTGTTTCTTTTTAAATATAGGCACAATCAAACTTTGTAGATTGCTCTGCACAAACTAAAATAGACTAAAAAGCCCTTTCAAGAGTTTCTTAAACATTCATCCCACTAAAACGCATGTTTTTTAAAGAGGATGAAAAAAGGTTTACTAGTGGTAAATACTTATAATAAACATTAAAACTGAACTTAAAAAATAAGGTAAAAGTAGATAAGTATGAGAAAGAAAAAAATTAGTTTCCAGGTAAAGGGCAAATCTTGACCACAGGTTTTTGCTAACACCTTTGGCAGTTTTCAGAGTAACGACTCTAATGATATTATCCTGTCCTGGATGTATATCGATAACTCGACCTCCCAATGAAGTGGGTGGAGTTGCTCATTTTTTATTAGAACAAGGGCTCCTAGCTTGATAGGGGAGACTGATCCAACCACTTGTGTATTTTTTGCAAATAATGTATATATTCTTGCGACCAACGTTTTCAAAAATCGCCCTGGAGTCGCTGAATGAGTTGCCAACGACTCAATCTACTTAATTTCAAGTGACTTAAATCTGGGTTAGCGACTGGGTTTACTAAAGGTTCAAAGATTAAAAAATGCCCTGGAGTAAGAGGTTGTAGATCATTTGGATCTGCACTAATACTGCACAAGGGACGCGAGTTTAATAAAGCTTCCACCTGGGTTAAAATGGTGTAAAATTCCTCATAGGATAAAATCTGAGAACCCAAGACACGATAAAAATGATTTTTAAATTATTTTACTCCAGTCTCGGCTAGTCCATTAAAATGAGGAGGGCCGGGTGGATTGAAGTTCCAAGAAAGAGACAAAGTGTCATCGGTGGACTGTGCCAATTCAAGAAGTTGTCGATAAGCACCCTTAAAATTGGTACCTTGATCACTGGTTATAGTAACGCAATTTCCTCGTCGGGAAATAAAACGTCTAAAAGCTGCTACAAAAGAATCAGAAGTTTAATCTGAGGTCAATTCTAAATGAATAGCCTTTGTGGTAGTAGAAACGAATACACAAACGTAGCCTTTAAATGTTTTTGCACCTCGGTGCCTACTTAGCAGAGGAGGAAAGGGTCCAGCAAAATTACGCAAACTGAAGAGAATGAGAACAACGGAGAGCTGGCAAGTCCGCCATATAAGGATTGTATGATTTAGGTTTACATTTAAAGCAACGAAGGCATTGTGAAAGACATTTATAAATAGCACTTCGGGAAGATATGATCCAGTATTTTTATAGTAGTAAATAGTGAAGAGTTTTTAATTCTGGATGAAGATTTGATGAATGTGTGAACCCAATAATTGAGTCAGTTAACGAGTACGATTTGGGCAGAAGAATGGAATGCTTGACGTCGTAGTCCAATTTTGACTGTCTAAGCCTTCCACCAACTCGAAGAAGACCTTCATGATCGATGGATGGAGCTAATTTGCGAACTGGTTTGGGATGTTTTGATTAATTTTGGAAAAGAGATCAGCAAAGGATTATAACTGAATCAATTTCTACAGGGTTCAAAGGACCTGTCACTTTTGTTTTTAACTTCACATTATTCACAAACCGGAAAATATACGCACAAATTCTTTGAATTTTTGGGAGCGATGAAAAATGAGATAATAATGAGGAAATAAAGTTTTACGAAGAAACTGATATAGTTAAAAAAAAATTATTTTCCTCCAGGGATATGGGTTGTAAATTGAGATTAGGTTGCACACGCCAGTTATCTTTAGACTGGGCTAAGAATTCTGGACCTGACCACCATATATTTGTGGCAATGAGTTGAGCCGGCGTTTGTCCGCGACTTGCACAATCTGCAGGGTTCAAAGCTAAAGGAATATATCTCCAAGCAGTTACTGGAGGAAGCTTCTGTATATGACTTATTCTGTTGGCCACAAATGTCTTCCATCTATGAGGAGATGAAGATAACCAAGCTAGGGTAACCATAGAATTCGACCAGGTGTATACGGCATCAAAGATGATTAAATTAGCATAGCTGTCTTTGACAAAGGTAAATAGATCAGCCAACAAAACAGCCACCAAGAGTTCCAGTCTGGCAATAGATAGTGTTTTCAGTGGGGCTACTTTGCATTTAACACAAACAAGAAGAGTTCGAATTTCCTCAGAAAGGTCCTCCAAACGAAAATATACGGCACTTGCGTAACCTATTTGGGAGGCGTCACAGAATCCATGTAATTCGATTCTAGTAATGGAATTGCAGCCTATAAATCGAGGAATTTCTATATTGGCGAGGTCAGGCATTTCGGCTATAAACGTAGACTAAAGTTCCACAATTATGGTTTGAGTTGGAGGATCGTCCCATGAAATGTTGCTTGCCCAAAGCTGTTGCAATAAATGTTCCATTTTAAACCAAGAACTGATTAAGGAAGACTCTTCTTTATCAAAAGAACAAGGTTCTTGAATATCACCGGTGGAGATATTGGATAACAGAGCTGGGTGGTAACCACTGATCTCAAAAATAAATGGATAAACAAAGAACGCTTCTAATGCTGCTAATTTACGAGGTCTTAATCTACTCAAAAACAACTGACTGGGACAGCTGTGAGCGTGCGCAGTAGATACATGTACTGTGCGTGCACAAAATCTGGCCAATGAAAATGGAGGAATTTTAAAATTTAGAACAGTTGTTCGAAAGATAAGACACTGCGCAGGCGTTCGGCTGTTCCGTTGCACAACTGTTCGTAGAATATTGACCCCAAATTTTCGCACAAATTTTGCCAATCAAGCCGTATGATTGTTTATCCATTTATTTTTTAGATCAGTGGTGGTAACTTGCCCACTTGCTTAATTCAAAACCTTCAAAAAGTTCAATCAACTCTGATTGAAGCGATAGAGCAGAGTCGAGATCATGGCTTCCTAGTAAGCCATCGTCAATATAAAACTGAGTCTGTAAGGCTGTCGCAGCCTTAGGAAGGGAAGTTTTTTCTTGACATGCAAGTTCTTGCAATGTACGTAAAGCTAAATAAGGAGATGAAGAAACGCCATAAGTAACGGTCTGCAGATAATATTCCTGAATAGGTTCAGTAGGTTTGAATCTCCAAAGAATCCTTTGATAATCCCAAAACTGTCGGTACATTTGTTTGATATAACAAATGAAGAAAATCGGAAAAATCGAAAATTTAAAAGGAGTTTTGAAATGTCCTTTTGCAGCTTAGGACCTGTTAGTTTAGTGTCGTTTAGTGATACACCCGGTAGCGATTTTACTAAATATAAACTATTAAAGCACAAGACACGCCCCTTCGTCATCGCAAAATATAATCGCTCTCAGCGCGATTTTACTAAATATAAACTATTAGAGCAGAAGAGACGCTAGGCCTTGAGATCATTGCAAAATATAATCGCGCTCAGCACATTCCTGCAAAATCTAATCGTTTGTAGCATGACGTGGCAGATCTAACCTCAAGTCCTCAAATTGTACTTGTTAGAAGTTAATAATTATTGTTAGTGTTGTGTGTTTCCATTATGGATAATTTAATTCAACTTATTAATCCATTGTGTAACAATGAAAATGTTAATCGGTTTTTTTGTGCAGAAGTCACAAACCAGTCAGAGCGAATTTCATTGGTTGAAAGCAGTGAGAAAACTAGTTTCAACCAATGAAAAAAATTATTTCTGCAGAAACAGACCTAATATAATCGAGCATGAAAATCAAAACAATTACAACATACTCCGCTTAAAGTTAAAATGGGAATCAGACGAAGAGTGCGATTCCGATGACTTCAACTTGCGTTGAATGAGTGGGAGAATGAATTTTCAATAATAACAAAGACACAATGGATAGTGAAAAAAACTTTGCCAAAACTGCATAGATTATTGTTTCGTGAACAATACGTGTGCCATCACAACAGCACTTTTTCAATCGATTTATTTAAATGAATCAGCCACGTTGTGCTGTCAACGATTAGATTTTGCAGGATTGTGCTGAGCGCGATTATATTTTGCAATGCTAGCGTCTCTTGTGCTCTAATAATTTATATTTAGTAAAATCGCGCTGAGGCCGATTATATTTTGCAATGACGAAATTGAGGGCGTGTCTTTGTAATAGTTTATATTTAGTAAAATCGCCACCCTGCATATCCCGTAAATTAGCGTCAAAAACTACCCGGATTTTGGCATTAGGGGTGTTGTCCTTGAAAACACCATGATGTGATATATAATAAGCA